CTCTATATATGTATGTATATATTCAAAGATATATATATAAACTTCATCACCCACGTACACCCGCAGAGTCGGTGGCCGCGCATCAGGTGGAAGAGATGTTAGAGAACGCGAGGATAGACAAACCAGTAGACCTGTTTGCTGGCGGTAATATGTCTGCCATCCATGACCTGGACCAACTGAAGAAGGTACGTGTGTGTATGTACAACATAGTACACGCCTGTACATCTGTAGAAAGAAATACACACATGTGTATGTGTAGAAAACAGTACTCAAATGTGTATGTGTACAGAATAGTACAAATGTATATATGTACAAAATAGTACGCAAATCTGTGTACGTACAAGATAGATGTCTGATATGTAGCACCGGCAATAGTACTAACGTCAATACTTTCATTCACTACCAACAATTAGCATCCAATAGCTATACCTATGGTGACCAATGTTCCCTTACCATTGTCAATTTTACCATCAATTACTGTCATTTCATATCAATCCCTCATATACATACTTGATTATATATCTAACATTCAACAGCTAACATATAGTGTTTCATTCGATACTTGATTATATATCTATCATTCAACAGCTAACGTCTATAGTGTTTCATTTGATACTTGATTATATATCTAATATTCAACAGCTAATGTCTATAGTGTCTCATTTGTTCCGTGATTGTAGATTCGTCGTGTAAAGCACTATGTAATGGAGAAGGTGTTGGCGAGTGGTGCGTACGGACTGGTGCAGCAGGGCTTCAACGAAATCACACAGGAGAAGGTATGCGCTACAGTGGTTGTATAAGGCTATTAGAGTTATCGATGATGATTGTACAAGGCTATTAGAGTTATCTACAGTGATTGTGCAAGGGTATTAGAGTCATCTATGATGATTGTATAAGGCTACGAGAGTTATCTACGATAATTGTATAAGTCTATTAGAGTTAACTATAGTGGTTGTGCAAGGGTATTGGGTCCATCTATGATGATTGTGTAAGGCTATTAAGAGTTATCTATAGTGATTGTATAAGGCTATTAGAGTCTGATATGACAGCTGGTGCTTTCAAGTACTATTCACGTGTATGTAGGTATATCTAAATACTCAGTCCCACAACAGAGAATCATTTTGCCAGAACAATGCGCGTTGCCAATTGTTATTAACCAATATGGTATTAGGGTATTAATATCGAAAACCTAATATGGTTCCTCTGGCCACCCAATGTATCTCATATCACCACTTAGTCGTGGTACTACCAGTCATTATACCTAAGTAGACGCCTTTTGCGTAGCTTGTTGCTCATCTGTGCGCGTGTTGTCTGTGTTACGCTCATCTTCTGTGCGCGTGTTGTCTATGTGGGTCAGGTGGCGATAAAGATGATGATCAAGTCCGAGAAGGATGTGGACAAGGAACTCGAGGAATTCAAACTGCTGCGACAGATCACTCACCCGTACATCATCTCAGCCGTGGATGTGGTGGAGCGAGAAAGGTACGTACGCCCCTCTATAGGATAATCAACCCCTAAACCCTAGAACCCTAAACCAAGATCACTCACCCGTACATCATCTCAGCCGTGGATATGGTGGAGCGACAAAGGTATGCCCTCTATGGGATAGTTAAACCCTAAAACCCTAGAATCCTGAGGCACACAGGATAGTGAAAAGACACTCCTGGCACTTCTGATTAGTTGGTGTGACGTATACGGTCATGTTTCAGCATCGCAAGACACCCCTCGCCGTACTACTTCAACTGTAGTGCGGAGGTGATGGCCAATGTTAGTTATTGTACTGCCCCTCTTGTCTACATATCTATTTATAGATCTGGCCTGTGATTGGACCACATGATGGATACTCCCATTCACTTAATGTTATTGTACTGCCCCTCTCGTCCACCTATCTATTTATAGATCTGGCCTGTGATTGGACCACATGATGGTATACTCCCATTCTACTTATTGTTA